GAATAGATATCAAAAACTCGGCCAAACTTCAAAAACGTGCTCCACATTTCTTCATAGCTCCAGTCGTCTGGACAGTTGGTAAAGAAAAAAGGGGTTGCTTGTTTGTATAAACCCCAGTTATAAGGCCCATCTCTCTGCAATTTTCGACCCTGGTTTTGATCATTCCTTGCTTTCCCCCACTCTGCCGATTCCCTATTCTTCTAGTATCTGCTATGACTGCATCCGCCAAGCTTCCAGTTCAGTGCCGTCTGTCTGTCCCATGCTCGGTGTCCGTCTGGGTCTCTTCTCTCTCTCTCTCTACTTCTCTCACTCATTTTTGATATCCTCCACATACCGTTTAGTTGATGATCTCCAACATCTTCTCCCGGTTAATCTCTTTGCCTTGGAAAATTTTTTGATTGCGGGCCAACCACACTGTCCACACTAGAGAACTCCAGATACAATCCCATCCATCTCTAATACATTTCTCTTTTTGTTCTCTTTCAGGATTTCGGAAGGTGTTCCAGCAGTTCTCTTCCAATAAACTTTAAATTCTTGATGGGAGAATAAACATTAATCCACCATGTGGAATGTTGTTTTGAGACTAAATACTTCTCTCAATTACTACTTTCAAAGTACATTCATTACACTTTTCTCTCGTTTCCAAACACCTTAACCTTCACACATATAACCCCTAAGTCAGTATACTGACTTGGGGTCTTGCCAGTTTAAGCTCGAATTGGAGTACTTAATTACTCAGCTGGCTCTATTCAGGAGACAAATTATACTCTTCGTACGTTGGAATCCTAGTCAACTTCCAAAGCCAAGAGAAAACGGTGTATTCTACGCGTCGTTTGGTCAAACTTGTCCACTTTCTTAACTACCTAGTACCTAACATGCATGCAAGCAAAGAGCCGCATGATGTCCCGCAAAAACGTTGGAAGTAAATGGGTTAGTCCATATATATTCTCCATACATTATGGTGATCAACAAACTCAGGTGCTCGAATTTTTCAGATTCGAACGAATATTCGAGTAATTTGGTATCCCCTCCAAGCATTTATATATATATATATATATATTTTGACAGTTCAAATTACAATAATAATATTAGCATCTGTTCAAAAGAGAAGGGGGAATGTCGAGCACCAGGCTCGACCTGGAGAGCAAAATGCCCCCACTTTGCTTCTCAAATGAGAAGCGTGGCCATTGAGCCACATAGTGGCAAGCCCCTCCAAGCATTATATAAAAGTACAAACACACACACATATGTATATATATTGAATGCAATTATTTTAATTTTTGCCGAACATTGATTGCAATTCTTGAAAGGCCACGTTTTGCGCATTAACAGAGGCTTTTCAAAATATCCAAAGAAGTCGCCAGCTAAGTTGAGAAGTTTACTCTGTGATTTTCACTTTCAATCCAAGAGAAAACAGTGAACGGTTTACTGTTTGTACTGCTAGAAATACTCGTTATAATGAAATGCAGTCGTTTCAAATAGTTGGCCTAACAAAAATCGTTGATCCTTTCCTGTTTCTTTTTTTTTTTTTGTTTATTTTTTAGTAATCTTAATTTTTTATCTAATAAAATAGAGATATAATAATTTATTGATAAAATTTTATATTTATCTTTAATTAAATATTACTTAAATAAAATTTCTTATTTCATATATATTATAATTATCTTTTTAAAATAAAAATCAAATAGAAATAAATGTATTAAATGATATTTTAAAAATTAAAAAAAACAATTAAATTTGAATGCTCCAAATAAGAATTCTATTAAAAATGAATAGAGAGTAATATTCATGATTCATATAGTCTTAAAAAACAATTATAAATCAAGATATATTGACATTTTAAATATTATTTTTAGACTTCACATGAAATTATTTAAATATTTATAATGAATCTTCGTTGCTGTGTTTATTTATTTATTTATTTTTGAGTGTGGCTCGCTTCTCCCCCTGCTGTGTTTATTAATTAAGGATAGATTTTAATATTTTTATTATTATTTTTAATATTTTAATACCAAAAACGTACAAAGTTTCTTCATCCCTGTCGCTAATTTTTATATATTAGAATTTTGTTTATGTAAAATACAAGTAAATACAAGTCAATACAAATTTAAATTAAAGCAATTTAAGACTAGTACGCAACTTAAGAAAAACACTGCAGAAATATATTAGAATTCCATGATGGATGAGAGTTAAGACATTTTAAGAGTGCTTTATTACTTTTATATTTTGATGAAATTTATACCGAAGAATGTTCATCTCATCTATTTATGGATTACATGCATGTTTGCAATTTGAATTCAAAGACATTTCAAGACTCCCAACACATGAATCAACTCAAAAAGTGAAGTGATTCATCCCAATTCTTGAAGTTTAGGTTTAATTAATTGAGAATAAAACTCCCTTCAATTATTTAAAAATTTACCTCATTTTCTCACATTTCTTATTGAAAGAAAAAAAGAAAGAAAGAAAGAAAGATACCCAATACACTAGCAGGAAACAAACTTTCGCAAGCCGTTGAATCAAGTTGCACGTACGTCAACTTCAAAATTCTGCATTCGAAAGGTTCTTCTTCCAATAAAATATACACATTAATTTTTGTCCAAGTTCTTCGAAAATGTTCTGTTGCTATTAAAAAAAATGTTCTGGGAGAATGGACCAAAGAACCAAGGAATGGAATTTAATCCAGACTAAAGTGCCATTGCCTATTTTCAAAAAAGATTCCTAGAGTAAAGTGGAGGACACGGTGTGCTGTTTCTCTTTGGTGGAAGACACGGTGTGCTGTCGTATGTTACTATTCTTTTTTTAATACATTTATTTAAAAAGAATAATATATTGATAAAAAATTAAAAATATATTTATTGTATATTTTTATTATTAATTTATATAAAAATATAAAAATTAATTTTGATTTTATCTACTATAAATCATTCTAATTGATATTAATATTAAAAATAAAATTTACTTTAACAAATTAACAATAAAAAGTTGTAATAAATGTATAAATTAAAATAACAAAAAAAATACTAAAGTTGGCATGACGGGGTGATCCAGTAACTATAGCGCTCAATAGGATGATCTTACTTACTACTCTGGTAGTTCTATTAACATTTCCTGTAATAATTAATTTTATAATTTTTAAATATAATTAGATCCTTTTTTTTTATCTTAATTCACTTATTTATGCACCAAGAAAAAAACAACAAGCATGCACAAGCTACTCTGCAGCACCACTAGGCCGGTGCAACTTTGTCAACATGGCCACGAGTCAACAAAAATGGCCACTAAATTCTACAAAACTGCTAACTCCCAACTGCACTTTACTTTTCATTTATTGCCTTTCGTTATATTTACCTATAAATAACCATGTTCTCACCATTGTATGTATGAAGTTTCAATCAAAATTTTAGTTTATATTTCTCTTTTTTTGAGTGAGTTTTTTGGGAGTGGATTCTCTCAATTATTCTCTATATCTTAGGTCTTGCCAACCGAAGTAGTGAACCTGGCAATCGAATTCATCGTAGTGGGATTCTAAATCTCACCAAAATCGGTGTTTCGGTATCGGCTCCTGCGCCATTTGGTATCAGAGTCAATATATTTGGAGTCTGCACGTCATTCTGAGCGTTCTGGTGAAAATCCGATTGACGAACAAGGTAGCACGCTCCTCCACGCACCACCGTCGTTGTCTCACGTGCCGGCCACTCGCACCACTGCAAATCGCGTGAACATCACGCGCCGGTCATCTTCAACCTCTCATTCGACATGTCATCATCCACACCATCAGCCACGTCACTACCACATCATCTATTGCCACGTCACTTGACATGTCATCAGCCATGTCAGTGACACGTCATCACAGCAGCCGCACTCTTTTACCACGTCATCAAGTCCTGCAACTTATTTTGACCTTACAAATTGACCCCATAATTTTATAAATTTCAAAATACCCCCACTTTCAAATACTAACTTTCCAAAAAGCCCCTTACCAACCTAAACTCATTATGCCTCCTAGAAGACAAAATCCTCCTCGTCAACAAGCTGTTTGGGATATAGAGATGGAAGAACTACGTCAACAAATTCAAAGGCTTCAAGAAAGACTCGAAGCTTTTGAGGGACAACAAGCTCAACACCCGCGAGATGAACCACATGAGTCAGAAGAAGATACTGACAACGAGAATCCCTTCCATCACCTAAGGGATAATGAAAGCTCATCATCAACAGGAAAAGTTTGTCGTCAACAACGTCCCCAACAAAATGCTGCTCCCAAATCCACTGACCTTGGCATCAAAATTGATATTTCATATTTTGAAGGTCGCCTTCAACCAGATGAATTTATCGACTGGTTGCACACTGTGGAACGTGTGTTTGAATTCAAGGATATTCCTGACGACAAGCATGTGAAGCTCGTCGCCATCAAATTAAAAAAACATGCATCCATTTGGTATCAAAGCTCAACGAAGCAAGGATTCTATCATGGTTGTGCCTACAAGACCAGACTTCCAAGTGACTATGGAGTCTCTACTACTTTTAATGTTGCTGACTTATCTCCTTACTATGAGGATCATGAGCATTGAACTCAAACTCGAGGACGAGTTTTCTCCAACCAGGGGAGAATGCACCAGGAAAAAAACAACAAGCATGCAGAAGCTACTCTGCAGCACCACTAGGCCGGTGCAACTTTGTCAACATGGCCACAAGTCAACAAAAATGGCCACTAAATTCTACAAAACTGCTAACTCCCAACTGCACTTTACTTTTCATTTATTGCCTTTCATTATATTTGCCTATAAATAGCCATGTTCTCACCATTTTACGTATGAAGTTTCAATCAAAATTTCAGTTTATATTTCTCCTCTTTTGAGTGAGTTTTTTGGGAGTGGATTCTCTCAATTTATCTCTGTATCTTAGGTCTTGCCAACCTAAGTGGTGAACCTGGCAATCGAATTCATCGTAGTGGGATTCTAAATCTTGCCAAAATCGGTGTTTCGATATCGGCTCCTGCGCCAATTTATTATAGACATAAATTTCTTTATAACTAGTGCTATAGGATAGAAAAAGGATAGGTTTTCCTGAGAGGATTTATACAACCTGGATGCATGGATGTTATTCACTTTAGAATATATTCCTTTCATGAAAAAAAATGATGCACATTCTTTAATGGAGAACAAAGTATCCCTTTATCAGTCATCATAACTTTACATATGTTGCAAGGATTGACTGTAAAACAGAACCCTTTTCAGCTGAGTCCTCAACAATTCTTCTTCAAATATATACTACCTTGTTTGAGAAGCTCTCTACCTTCATTTTTCCCCGAAAAGATTCTTGCTTAGACATGCTTGGAGAGGGAAAAAGTTGATCATGGTGGGAGAAATTGAATCCATTATGGCATCTAACATGAGAAGCAAGATGAAAGGTGATACCATAAGTTCATCCACGCCTTGCCTCTTCAGGATTCCCAGCATACTTCGTAGGCACAATAAGGAAGCATACATCCCCAATGCATTTTCCATCGGGCCTTTTCACCATGGCGAGAAAGATCTTGAAGACAAAGAGAAGATCAAGTTTGACTACTTACAAGGCCTTTTGTACAGAACACGTGATCCGGAGACAACACTGATGAAATGCATCAGAGAGATCACAAATTATGAAACAAAAGCTCGAGAGTGCTACGCAGAAGAAATTCGTATGAGCAAACGGGCATTCATTGAAATGTTGGTGCTTGATGGCTGCTTCATTGTTGAACTGTTCAAGAAGGATGCTGGAGTGGTTCAGAAAGGTGAAAATGATCCCATTTTCTCTATTTCCTGTATGCTTCAGTTCTTATACCATGACTTGATTTTGTTAGAAAATCAAATACCCTGGTTTGTGCTTGAGCGTCTGTTTAGTTTAACAAGTGGTCCGTCTGAAACCAAGTCCCTACTTCAACTCGCCTTGGATTTCTTCGACAACATTTTTTCATCTGACAAATCTCCTATCCAACTAGATCTCTTTGCCAATCAAGAAATCCAGCACATTCTGTTGAGCTAGCCCTCCCAAGTTGGGTGGCTCAACAATGTAGGTGCACCATGAGTGCACGGTGAATGGCAAAAAACTTGGGAAGTTTGGTTTTGAAGATGAACAGTGGATCCCGACACGGACATTTCCAATTGTTGAAGAAATGGGAAAAGCAAAGTGGACTCCTCCAACTTTGGATATGCTGACATGTTAGTCCCTAATAGGATAGTGTTTACTATTCTTGTATCCAAAAGCTCCCTATTTTAACTCTTGTTTAAAATTTAAAAGAGTGCAGATTGGTTAAGTGCGTGAAAAACAGAGGGAAAGCAGTGCAGAAAAAACAGAGTGAGGTTGAGAGAAAATCTCCCTTGTTGGTGTTAGAAACTTGAGAGATTCGGATTGTGATCCGAAAATTGTAATCCATTTTCAGTAGTGGATTGATTTTTCATCTGGGTAAGTGCCCCGTGGTTTTTCCCATTTGGGTTTTCCACGTAAAAATTCTGGTGT